TAGGGTTAACGATAAGGACGAGGTTTTGAAAGGTGCCGAGAATTGGCTGTCTGAAATGAAGGAACTAGGTGAGATTAGGGTTCTTGGCGTGGCCGGTTCGCCAAAATTCGACTTGCATGATGCGGATTTCGGCTGGGGGAGGGCGAAAAAGGTCGAATCTTTGTCGATCGATGTAGATAAGTATTCGATGTCGTTGTACAAGTCGGTTGAAGGAGGATTGGAGATTGGATTGTCTCTTCCAAAGGAAAGAATGGAAGCATTTGCAGCTATATTTGATGATGGGCTAATTAAGGTTTCCCAAATGACTACTAACGTTACATGTTAGTATTATATATATTTAAAGGCATATCTTTTTATATTTAAAATGGAAATATTGTTTTGAATCAATCAACAAAATATTGTATATGGATGAATAAGAACTGTGTAATAATCACCAAAAAGCACTCCTGTGTAATCTCGAATTGTTGGAAAATATCTCGTGTTAAAACAATTAGCAAATACCTCCATATGAAAATTAATCAAAAGCAATAAGGCCTTAGAGAGCTGACCGTGCGCTTCACTCGCCATGAATGCGAGTGGGGGTTCATTTTTTGACACGAAAATACCAAAATGACCCCATAAATTTCGTAAGCACCAAATTGAAGTTTTTAAAATTTTTAATTGAGTCCTTTATATTTTCAAATAAGCTCTCTTCTTCAACCTCAAGAACAGCCCCTACTTTTTCACCCTGATTTTTTCCAGCAAAAACCATCAACCAAACCCAGATCTGAGCATGAAGTTCAATTATATTCTAAATCCAAGAAAACAAAAGGGAAGAAAAATGACATCTCAAGCTTTTTCAGTATCCCTTGCCCAAACCCCACAAACATTCTTTAAAGCATTTTTTTCCAATTTTCATAGAATTTTCTTCCAATTTGTGAATCTTAAGTCGTATCCTGAGAAAGAAGAAGAAGAATGTCAAACTCAAAGAATCATTCGCCGTCACTGCACAACTACTACGCCAAACTCAAAAGCCGACTCCCCAGATCCACCACTGCCTTTGAATGCTACCACTGCTACTATAGTTTCTGAAACCACAATATCCGTCCACCGAAAATTGCCGTGCTGCACTTTTTTCTTTCTATCTAAAAAAACAAATAAAATCCCCGCCCAGCACTGTCGGAGAGAAGCTGGTTTGCCTCATTTTTGTGATATTTCTTTTTTCTTTTTTTTTTCTTTTTATTTGTTTAAAATTGAAATATCACTAAAAACTATTAGTGGTAGTTTAGTCATTGCATACAAGTCAACCATCAATTTCAAATTAAAGAGCAGTGTGTTTCTTAAAACACAACATAGGGGGTCCTTGATAATATTTTTAACACGAGAACTTTTTCGACAATTCGAAATTGCACAGGGGATTCTGTGCAATTAGCTCAATAAAGTATAAAATCAATACCAAACTCGTATGATGAGTCCTTTATTAGACCCATCGTGCCATTTGATAAATCTATTATTTTTTTTTTTGGCGCATTACAAATAATTTCATTATGGGATACTTATTTATAAGGGGGTCCAGATAAAAAACTATTTTATACAAAAGTTCACACATAGTTCAGAGGCGTGTAAAAGACTAAAATACCCCTTACATTATAATATGCTTCAATCTCATCCTTTAATTTAAATTAACCTCAATTTGACCCAAATATCACAAATCATTTAATTTTGACCCAAATCAATATTGAGTATAATTTCGGCCGTCGTCACCATTGACCGCTAGTCTCCAGTGTTGACTTTTTTTCCTTCTACCGCCACTGACCGGCGGTCAACGCCGGTTTCCGGCGGCGTTGATTTTATTTTATTTTTGATTGTTTCCTTTCTTTAACATGTTTTTCCCCCATTTAAACAGTAATATTGCTAGGGTTGACAGTCAATTAACTATATTACTGTTAAAATATATTAAGCACAGTAATATTAAATATACTACACACACTAATATTGCTATATTAGTCTCTAACACAGTAATATTAAGTATTAACACAACAAAAATCATTATTATTATGTAATGGAGTAATATTAATATGTTGACCGTTCAACAAAAGCAAACATAATAAAAAGCTAAAATAATTAATATTGATGTCGTTGACATTAATACCACTGTCTTGCATAGTAATATTACTTAACAATAGTAATATTACTGTAATAATAGTAATATTACCGTCAACCACAATAATATTATAGTGTTTACAGTAATTTTACGATAATAGACAATAATATTATTATGTTAATCGGTCAACAACTCAAACAAAACAAAAAAAGCCAAAAAAAAAAAATTATATTGATGTGGCTGACAGTAATTATATTATTGTGTTTACGGTAATTTTCAATGTTATCAGAACCGGACCGGACACAAAACCGGCAAGGCATTCGGGTCACGGTTGGACCGGTTCAACCCGGGTTTTTATCTTTTAATTTTTTTAATTATTTTATTAATTTTAAAACATTAATAAAATGAAAATTATATATACCCGGGTCATTGACCGGTCAACCTTTTATACTCATTTTTTTCCTATCTCCTCTCTCTCCACCTCTTTTCTCATCACTACAACCATCTTCACCAGTCCACTCTTTCTCTCTCCACAATTCACTTCCACCCGTCACCCTCTTTTACCCACCATTATTTTTTTTCCCTTAAACCCACAGCATATCTGCCCTCTCTCTCTCTCTCTCTCTTTTCTATTAATTTCATTTCTTCTTTTCAATCTTCTTTTTTTTTTCTCCATATCCAGAAACACACAACCTGTTCCGGCAAACCAGGAGTAAATCCCATCGAAATTCGCAAATCCACGGCCAGATCTATCAATTTCCGGCCGACCTCGGCCTATTCTACACAGATCCGGCCACCCCCGACAAATTCTGACCGTACCCCGCCACCAACAGCCACCGGACGTAATATATAAGATGAAAACCGGGGTCGTTGACCGGTTTCCGGGTTCACCGGTTTTGGCCGGTTGAACCAGATTTTCTATGTTTGGACCGGGTTTCTGATTTTCCCGGTTTTAGGGGTCAGACCGGACCACTTTTATCACGGGTCGCGGTCGGACCGGTCGGACCGGCCGGTCCGGTCCGGTTCTAATAACATTGGTAATTTTACTGTCAACGACAGTTATATAATTACGTTGAATTGTCAACAAATCAAACAAAATAAAAAAAAAGGCAAAAAAATAATAATATTGTCGGTGACAGTAATTGTGTTGCTAACGACAGTACAATTACGTAATGTAATGTCAAAAAAAAAAGTCAAAATTGATTTTTTTTAGTCAAAATTGATTAAATTGGGGTTACAATTAAGAATTGTGTCTAAATGATTGGGGGTACTTTTGTCATATACATCATTTTTTTCTTTATTTATAATTCATGTTAAATTGATGGACTTATTGGCGAAAGAGATATAACCACTGAACGTAGAACAATAAAGATGGTTGGTCATGGACTTATGCATAAAAACGTTTTTTTTTTTAAATTTGAATTCATTATAACAATTAATTAATTATAATTTTAATTTAAAAACATTCATCACCCAATCAGATGTATTAAATCTATAGGAGGAAAACATCCCACAGCAAGCTGCGAACCCTCTTGGAGGACTATGAAAAGATGCTGCAAAATTTCCAGAAGGTCTGACTTGTTTTTGGCTATAGGGATACTAACAGTGTGGCGGACATGCTTGCATAAAAAGAGCGTCACTTGGCTCTGGATGCGTCCGTAATTTTGATAACACCCCCTACTTTTTGAAAGAACTTTTATTAAAGAATTTGCATATCCAGTATGAACGCCAAACTTTAAATCCATGTAATATCTCCTTCCTTTTGAAATAGTAATATATATGGATGGTGTTTTATTTGTTAAAAAAAAATACCAAAAATAAATCATTATAAATAATTAAATGAAATTTCTAATAACAAAAAAAATATTTTTTTTGAATTTAAATTACTTAAACTACTTTTGTTAGAACAAACACGTAGATTAATATTATGACATCAAATCACTATTTACAAAATGTTGAATCTCAAGAGGTAGAGAATCAGCACAAAACCCATCTTGAAAGTAAAGTCGAGCAATATTATGTGCTACTCTATTCCCATTTCTTCGGACATGATTGGCAGAAAAGGACTTATCGAGTTTGCAAGAGCATGAATATATGTGATAATATAATATTTCTGTACATCGACCATTCTTCACATCCGTCACAGATTGCTGCAATAACCACGGCAGAATCTCCTTTAAGAACAACTTTGTTCCATGATCTTTGTGCAAAAATTCCACCCCTAAGAGTGCTGCATTTGCTTCAGCCTAGGTGGGGGTCCAGGGGTTGATTTATACAAATCGAATTCCAACCCAGACACTCGCCGAAATGGGTTCGAGCAACAATTCCTACACCGACACATCCGTCTTTTGAGTTGAAAGCTACATCAAAATTGATTTTAATCACATTCGTAGTCGGCGGAGTCCAATGAACATTATTAGTATTCCAGTTGAAAGCTTATTCACGAGAACTCGAGCAGCATAGTGACACAACTGATCTTCAAATCTTCCAACAAAAGAGATAACCCCTGAACTACTTAAACTACTTTACTTTATTTAAAATTAACTATTTGAAATTTGATGTTACAAGAAAATATAAATTTTAATTTAAATAGGTAATGTAGTAAATAACTTGATTCACTGTTTGAAAAATCTTTTACACACTAATTGTCCAGGAAAAAAAAACACCACGCTGGTTTATTTTCTGGTTATATAAATTTTCGGTTAAAGAAAAGCCTGTGCTTTGATATAGAGATCCAATAATTAGAAAAGGGGCTTGCTATTATCAGTGCGGTTTTTTCCAGCTACAGTGCAAAATAATTCATTTGTCAAAAAATACTTTAACCTTTTACAAAATCCTCTCAACCTCCAAATATTTCGACTTTCGTAGATCGTGATTTGTTTTCGTAGAAATGAGTTAAAACCCAACGATTATCAAGATGGCCAACATCGATCCCGTAAATGAGGTAAAAAAATACGTTTTAGTGTGATTTTTTTCGATTTTCAGTCGTTTCGTGTAGAATATCACGAAATTATTCAAGTCATTTCGTGGTGTTTTGCACGAAATGAACACTTTATTCGTGTTTTCCAGTCATTTCGTGTACAATACTACGAAATGATACCTATTATTTCGTGTAAAGTCACACGAAATATCAGTAAAACTGTTTTGTTATTTATTTCGTGCAGTACTATACGAAATGTATGCATACATTTCGTGTAAAATTACACGAAATGTATGCATATACTTCGTGTAATTATACACGAAATACCTAGTATTGTTATTAATTTTTTTTGTGCAAGTATCTAACCTTTTTTTTGTATTTACGCAGCCATATGACGACAATTTGTATTTTGATCCCTCGGTTTTGGATAAAAAGGAATATGAAGATTTCTCTCACTTCTTCCAAGTTGATATTGTGTTCGGCAGTAGGGAAGAATTAATCAACTGGGCGAAAGAAACTGCAGTTAGTCATTGTCACCGTTTGATTTGTCAGTCTAGAAGGGAGAATGCACAGTACATGACGTGTGACAAATACGGACATGGCCGACAAACGAATATCGATGTGGAAGATCCTAGAAACTCAGGAACAAAAAAATGTGGTTGTCCGTTCAAATTGATTGGCAAAAGGTCAAGGTTTGATGAATTATGGCGGTTGACTGTCAGCGATGGCAGGCATAGTCATCGTCCGACTTTGTTTCCTCACGGACAAGGTACGACTAGTCGTATAACTCCACAACAGAAAGCAAGAATTAAAGAATTGCGAAATTCTCACGTGAAGCCAATGCTGATCATGGATAGACTGAGAAAAGATGATCCGACGATACAAACCTCTATGAAGCATGTTTACAATGAGTTGGCCAAGATTAAATCTGAGGAAATGGAGGGCATGACTGTTATTCAGTTTATGATGCATAACTTTCAAAAAGGCGAGTATCGATATTGGCATCGCGTCGATAGTGAAGCGAGCAACACGATTACAGATATTATGTTTGCATGTCCCGAATCTATTAAGTTATTACGGTTGTTCCCGTATGTTATATTGATGGACTGCACATACAAAACCAATAAGTAAGTAAAAATTACGATTGTTCAAATTATGATTATTGTGTTTTAATGTCTTGTATTGTTTAAATATGTAAAAACAACATTGTTGTAGGTATGGAATGCCTCTTTTGGAAATAATTGGGATAACTCCAGTTGGGAGGAATTATACAATTGCTGTTGCATTTATGTCGCATGAAGATGCAGACACCTACGAGTGGACTTTGAATTGTTTGAAAGAGTTGCTAGATGGTGTCGAACCTGATGCGATCTTGACAGACAGAGAGTTGGGTCTTTTGAAAGCACTGCCAAATGTCTTCCCATTTTCGTATCATATGTTGTGTATATTCCATATAAACAGAAATGTTGAGGCAAATGCGACGAAATTTATGGGAGGCAACAAGGACCAAGGTCTAATATTCCGACGTGTGCTGTGGGCTAAGATGGTGAAATCAGAAACCGAAGAAAAGTATCATTACAATTACAATGAAATTGTTGGACGGTATGCAGGGTATCCTAGGCTGATACAGTATTTGAATGATACGTGGTTGATATACAAGGAGAAGTTTGTTCGTGCCTATACTCGCAATGTGTATCATTTTGGCAACACGAGCACCAACATGTATTACATGTTTTAGTTATTTAAATGATAAAAGATATTATATAAAAATAATATTTATTTTGTAATTTGATTGTCGTTGTATGCTCTGATTGTTGTTGTAATTGGATAGGGTGGAGAGCGCTCATTCTTCAGCGAAGGGTTGGTTAAATGCTTCGACCGGAGGTCTGGATAACGTGCAAGGCAAACTTCGGGACCAAGTTTATATCCAAATTAGTGAGCTGAAGTGCGATTTTTCATTATCATCCAAGATAAGGAAGCATACTGCAGCATGGCCGTGTTTTCAGGGTTTGATTTGTTATGTTACGCATCTGGCATTAGAGAAATTGGATGAAGAGATGGAGTCCCCGGCGATGCAAGATCCGAGTATTTGCACACACTATCTTTGGAATACTCATGGGCTCCCATGCGCGTGCAAAATTGTGCAGAAAATGGAAGATAATGACACGTTCGTCATTTCAGACTTGCATCCATTCTGGAGTACCATGGCAGTTGAGCCTTCGGAGCTACCTGAGTATCAAGTAAACCGCGAGGAGATTGTGGATAGACAGATTGATGACCTGAATTGCAATTTGAAGAAGATGAATTACACGAGTAAGATAAATGCCGTGGCCTCATTGCGTGGCATCGTTTATCCGTCTACGTCGCATCTGTCCGAGCCATCATTTGTTAAGACCAAAGGACGACCAAAGAATAACTCGACAAAGAGAGACCCTTCTGGATGGCAGTATCATATTGATGAGGAGACAATTAAGTCGTCTTGTGGTTCCAAGGGTCGCCAAACCTCATCTGGTGCAAAGATTCCTAAAACAAAGGTTGAGAGAAGCACTGATGGAACGCCTCAATCGAAGATGAAAGGTCGTGGTTCTCGTATTGCCACACAAGAATCTGCTGCCCCTACAATACCTGCACATGAATGAATCGACTTTTATTCTTTCGTGCCCAGATTTATGGTCCGTCTTATTCAAGATTATGTTAACGTGATGGCGGATGGCAACTGTGGGTACCGGTGCGTTGCTCAAGCCGTGTACGGGGATCAAGAAAGATGGCCGCAAGTGAGAGGGGAGTTGCTTATTGAGTTATACGAGCATGCTAGTGTCTACACGGCGATGTTTGGCAGTACCGGATACGTTGAGGTCATACGCAAGTGTGACTGGACCTCAGGGCCTTGTCCACAAGCTTATTGGATGGACATGAATGAAATGGGATTGGCCATTGCTACCAGATACAGTGCATTAGTGGTACTTTTGACTCAAGTAGGGAGTATGACTTACCTTCCTATGTTTGGCAGTGGTCACTTATCATGTATGATTGTTGTGACATTGCACAACAATCATTTCATGTTTGTTAATTTGGTCGCAAATAGTCCACTACCACCAATCCATCCGGCATGGGTACACCATAGAGCTAAAAACTTGAGGCACTTACTCAAAACGTACAAACCCCGACTACTCTTGTACGAACAATTAAAGTCTGGTCGGTAGTTCAATTTGTAGTTGTATCTGAAATCTAGTTCAATTTTATTCGTATTTGAAATTTAGATCAATTTGTAGTTGTATTTGAATTCTAGTTCAATTTGTAGTTGTATTTGAATTCTAGTTCAATTTGTAGTTGCATTTGAATTCTAGTTCAATTTGTATTTGTATTTGAATTTTTAGGTCAATTTTGTATTTGAAATTTAGATCAATTTGTAGTTGTATTTGAATTCTAGTTCAATTTGTAGTTGTATTTGAATTTTTGTGTCAATTTTGTATTTGAAATTTAGATCAATTTGTAGTTGTATTTGAATTATAGTTCAATTTGTATTTGTATTTGAATTTTTATGTCAATTTGAGTGTCTGAAATAAATTGGTTAGTTAAAAAATAAATCAATTAGTTATTTCGTACTGAATTTCCCGAAATGTCACTTCATATTTCGTGGAAAAATCTACGAAATATGGTCTTCCATTTCGTAGAAAACTCCACGAAATATGGTCTTCCATTTCGTAGAAAACGCCACGAAATATGGTCTTCCATTTCGTGTACGTTTACACGAAATACACGATTTTTTTTAATCTAACAGTTTCGTCCTTCGTGTTCTATAACAATAAACACCGCTATTTCGTGTGAAAAGACACGAAATTATTGAGTGGATTTCGTGTAATAATACACGAAATAGCGGGCGAATTTGGTTTTTTTTTAGGAAAGTTACAAATGAAATAAATCGCACTGCAAGCCGGTAAAAACCGCACTATGAATAGCATTTCAGTTAGAAAATTGGCCTTCGGGGTGCTTGCAAAAGCTTTTACAAATAGATTATGAGCTTTTTTTTTTTTTTTTGCTTATAATCTGTTTTTAAGAGTTTACAAAATAAACTTTCGCTTCTCTTTCTTTTAAAATAAACAACTTTAAGCTATAATTGGTTACCCATGAACCTAATTTTTCTATTTAAGTTAATTTCCAGTAAATCTGCAGGTGGTGTTTGTAAAAGCTTATTTAAAAGCAGAAATTAGTGACTGTAAGTTAAGTTGGAATTAAGTGCTTATTTCTAAAAGTTGGGGGTGTTTGCAAATTAGTTGAAAAATAAACTAAGGGGGTGTTTGCAAAAGCTTATCTAAAGTATAAGTTAGTGATTGTGAGTTAAGTTAATATTAAATGCTTAATTCTAAAAGTTGGGGGTGTTTGCAAAAAAATCTGTAAAATTAACTAAAATGAAAAAAACAGGTACATGGGTGCTTTTAAAATTATAGCTTAAAGCAGCTTATTTTAAGAAAAGCAAAAGCAAAAAGTTGTTTTGCAAACACCAAAAAAAAAATTATGTGCACAAAAAAACTCATAATCTATTTCTAAAAGCATTTGCATACACCATCACAATCACCCCAACTTTCAGATATAAAACACTTAAAATTGTGAGTTAAGTTAATATTAAATGCTTAATTCTAAAAGTTGGGGGTGTTTGCAAAAAAATCTGAAAAATTAACTAAAATGAAAAAAACAGGTACATGGGTGTTTTTAAAATTATAGCTTAAAGCAACTTATTTTAAGAAAAGCTAAAGCAAAAAGTTATTTTACAAACACCTAAAAAAAGGTTATGTGCACGAAAAAAACTCATAATCTATTAAGCATTTGCAAATACCATCACAATCACCCCAACTTTTAGATATAAAACACTTAAAGTTAACTCAACTTACAATCCATAACTTCTGCTTTTAAATAAGTTTTTGCAAACACTAGAGTAGAGTGATTACAAAAGTTGTCCCAAATCACAATTTTAGGCCATCGGCAAATATAGCAGCAAAAGCAGTCATTCTCTCCTTAGGCAAAGACAAACCAATCTCCAATCCACCCTCGGAATCATTAGACTTACACAACGAAATCGAACACCTCTCTCCATCAATCGACACAACTTCGAACTTTCTCGCTCTTCCCCACCCAAAATCCGCACTACAGAAATCGAATCTCGGCGAACCCGAAACCCCAACAGCTCGGGCCCACACATGTTTCATACTACCATCCATCCAATTCTCGGCCCCTTTCAAAGCCTCGTCTTTATTGTTACTCATGTTCTTCATAAGTTCAGACATAAATTCAGCCGCAACTAATAATCCTTCTTCGTCGACAAGCTTTTCATGCTTGATTTCCGCTATACCTACGCCTAGGCAATTGCCGAAGTAATTTGTGGGCACCGGTGGATTTACCCGCTCGCGAGCGTCGACCGCGAATTTGAAGTATTCGAGCGTACTATGATCGTCGTCTTCTTCTTCGACAGCACCCGCAGATTTCAACAAGGTTGTCCAAATGTAGGACGTTGTTACGACAAAAGACGACACATGGACTAAACCCGGTTTCTTGGCCAAGACGAAATCTTTGAGCTTTTGGATATCGGATTGGTGGAGAGTGTACGTGGCTCTAACCCTATTCGTTGGTAGTGGGGAAGATGATGGTGTGAAAGGAATCTTTTTCATGACTTCCCAGAATATACTGTCGATTTTGAGCGGATCGTTGATTACGGATCTGTCGAAAACGGGCGGAGATTCGCCGTGCTTGGTTAGAAACTCATCTTCTCCACCGGATTTACTGATCGAAGCCCACGCCCGCATGAAGCCAGCGATCGATCTCGCGTCGCCGAGGCTGTGGAGATTGGAGAGGCCGATGCAAATTCCACGGCCAGGAAATAGCGTCACTTGCAGAGCAAATACAGGGACTATTTTGTACTCGGAATCTTCCGTTGCGGGCGGGATCTCCGGTACAAAGTCGTAGAACTGGTCGGCGTCGCGTGGGTGGTTTCCGACGAGGTCGTCGAAGTTGCCGCCAGAGACGGCGATTTTGAGGGAGACGGAGTCGCCGGAGACGTAACGGAGGAGGGGCTTATGGTCGGCTGTGTTTAGAGGGTAGAGGAGGTTTCCGGCGAGTGGGAGGTAGTGTTTGAGAGTGAGGGAGAGTGATTCTTTGAGTTTTGGAACTAGGGTTTCTAGGAAATGGGATTCGGAGCAGGAATATTTGTATAAGAGAAGACCGCGCATAGGTTTGGAGTGAATCCAGACGATGTCTAAGAAAGAGAGGGGCAGTTGTAGCTCGGCGGCGGCGGAGGAGCAGGGCGGAGGTGGAATCTGACAGGTTTCAACCAAAGTCGTCGTCATTATATTGCAACCACTCACAGGATACAAGTTTGGTGATATATGGAGATCTGCTTAGCAAATCAGGATGATATACATATATATAT